ACTGTAGTAATTATTGAGACTTAAGTGTTTTTATTCATTTAAATTTGTCTTTCGTCAGGATGCGATCGACGTCAACAACCAATAATGCGCCGGTACCTCCTGGAAAACCAAGCATGAATCGTGTTGATGCGCCAGCCCTGAACGTGGTTGTGAGTTCTTGTAGTATTTGCAGTGTGATGTTTCAAAAGAGGGAGTGTTTTGCTATGAAAGCCTGAAAACTTTCTGTTTTGTGTTTGAACAAATTTTCCTCTTGGCGCTATTGTCTCTATATTTATTTAAGCGGCCTGAATTTTCAGAACTTCTTTTAATTGGGTTTCAGAAGCCTTGAGTTTTTTATTGGGTATACGGATTTATAGGAAAGACACTTTAAGTACTCTGATGGTTTTTTTTAGCAAGATTATCCGCTATCAGAACCGATATTTGTAAAAAATCGATATGGACGGGAAGATTTGCTCGCGTTATTGCCAAGAGATTCAACATATCCAGATGGCTTGCAAAAGTGCCAGTTTTTTGTAGAGATACCTCAACAACCTATTGTATTGACACCATTAACTGATGCAGAAACGGTACTTGGAGTTTTTTTGAAGACACTGTTTAATAATTTATGAAAATCTGTTTATGAAAAGGCTTTATTTCATTAAATGATAACTCTTTGTTGATATTCAGTAATGTCATTGTTGTTTCCGTTTTCTCATCTCGTATTCTTTTTTTCCCTAATTTATAAGGATTTTTTCAGCGTTTACAACATAACATCAACTCGAGTAAGGCGATGAGTGCTTTGAGTCATGCTGAACGGACCCTTATATCATCGAGCAATGTGATTGGGCAAGGGAATACTGCGGCTGTCGGATCTACAGGGCCGTCATCACAATCCTCATGGGCAGGTGCAGTATTCTAATGTTAAAATGGAGCTCTCTTTTTTTATCATGATTGAACCTAAAAGTGCCGCAGAAATGTATATATTTCAAGCATACATCATGTCAAAGCTTTTTTCCTGTTAAAAACTTAATGTTTCGTTATTGGGTGTTAAATATTTTTTATTTAGGCGGGTCAAATGTTGGTCGTGGTGGTGGGCAAAGCGCTAGAGGAAGTTTTAACGCATTTCGGGGTCGTGGTGGGCAAGTGTTATCAGCGGGTGCCCATGCAGGTAATGTTCCCGAAACAACTGGTGGCAGTAAGTACGGTTGGTACATCATCTCAACTATTTACCTAGTGCCTGCAAAATATTTGTAATTTTCTTGAAGTTGTTTTTATTTACCTTTTTCATTTTAGTTCCTGTGCGTGGCAGAGGAAGTGGTACCATCGGACGTGGCGGTAGCACCTCAACTTTCAATTCTCGTGCTCAGGGTCTTTATGATCCAAGGGACCCCCGAGACCGCCCACGTCAGCGCGTCCGCAGCGTTTCAGATGATACTACATCGCCTTTGACGTCATCAGGTAGTGGAGGAGCAGGTCAGACTGTTGATGATACGTCGGCTTGTGGCAATGCATGGTCTCAGCCTTCAAATCGCAGTAGTTGGCGTAAGTATGCGGCTAATAGTTCAGGTTTACATCAGCATGGTAGCACAGATTCGTCCTCGGTCAATCGTACCTCAATGCCCGAATGGATGGTAGATGAACAAGAAAAGTGAGTAGTTTTTCTGAATAATTTGATTTTAAATGGTAGTGTTTTTATATCTGGTTGAAAAATTTTGTTCAGGGGGCCCGATCTGGTTTCAACGCGTTCTGGTTCTTTTGATGAAAATGGTCAATTTAGAGCGTCTGATTCTTCTCCAAAAAGTTCGGCTGCTTCCAATGCAGGATCAATTTTGACAAAGATTGCTGGGACTAAAGACACTAAGCAGTAAGAGGGATTTTTATTTCCGTTATTGATTTGTCTTGTTTGTTATCACTTTCTTATATATTTTATTAACATAACTTTTCAATAGAGTGCCAATACATTTTATTTGGGATAACTCAGCCAAACTCTTAGTGACATTTATTAGAAGAATCTGATTAAGTGGAAATTGGAATTTAGGTTTGTTGTGTACCTTTTAGGTGGGTCACTTTCAATTAATTTTTAACGAGCAAGCTGATGCTGCTTTGATTGAGCTACTTCAGTGATATTATGGTTTTCTTTTTATGTGGTGCAGCACTAAGGATAGTTCTGGTGTTTTTTAGGGCAGCTCTTGTATTTAGGCTTTCATTAAAAGAAGCGTCAGGGCTGTCTAAGCGTTGTCGTAGTCTCACTGTTACTTCTTTTATTTATTTATTTATTTTTTCACTGTGACTTATTTCTCTAGTTTTTTACCAGATTTATGAGTCGTGTTGATTCTAGTTGCAAGATTAATTTGTAGCTCTTTTAATTGTTCTTTTTTTTTTTAGTTTTTAATTACTGATTGTTCTTTATTTATCCGGATTAAGCGACTGAAACGACCCCCTAAATATTTGTTGAACTCTAGGAAATTTGCTTCTTTAACAGTCATTTTTGTTGGTTGGGACTTTTGTGGGGCAAATTGGTAATTTAAATTGATTATATTTTTTTTAGACCGGAAACACGGATGAGGGCTCAAGTTTCGCCACGTGCTCCTGAACCAATCCCAATTTCTAATCCGTGGAATGTCATCTCAGAGGCTCCGGAAAACAGACTGGACATCAGTGAACAGTTGGCACAGGTACCAGCGTTCTAAGCATTTATATGACTTTAGTTTATATTATATTTAATTGTCTTGTACCCGAACAAATTTTTTTCCAGCAAACTCAGATGAGCCTATTGTTGCCGTCAGCTCCTATTGCTCGTCTAACTTCTGACATTTTCGAACCTAAGGTCAGCTAGGAGTTTGTTAAGTCTCTTGTTTTTCCATTATGATGTAGACTAATCTTGAAAAGAAAATTTTTAAGGCAGGCGGTTGAAGAGATAGGGAAACTAAAAGATGTTACCTCAGGACAACATTTTAGGCAGTTAAGAGTTGGCTTTGATGCAAAGCAGGGGAAATTCATGCCAGTTATACCCACTTAAAGCCGACCTTTTATGCTCTTTGTACAAGAAACTGCCTTCAGATGTAGGAAGACTGACAAATGGTTTTCAAGGCAACACTAAGGAAAGTTTCAAAGTTCTGGAGGGTTCATCTTCATTGTAAAAGCGATTCTGAACTAAAGAATTCCATAAAGCGAAAGTACGGAATTCAGTTGTTTCAACTTTCATTCCAGCTTACAGAAATTACCGCAAAATTCACAGTTATACACCAAGCGAGCTACGAAATGAAAGGTGACATCGCAGTGGAAAAATAAGCAGCAAGGCGACAGGGGGAAAGCTTGAGGTAGTGGTTTAGAAGCTGCATAATGTATGACGCATTAGTCATTGCAAACAAGTACGCAAACTCGGAACGTGTGCATTGCATAGTGGGCTTGAATTACTTGTAATTGAAGCCAGGAGATGACAGTAGACATACGGCAGGGATCTAGTAAGTTTAATTGCTTGGTGTATTAGGGCTGAAGGAACAACTCAAGAATTTCGTTGGGAAGTCTTGTCGTTAGGTTATGGTCTCCTTGCGTATGAAATCCGATAGTGTGTGAATATTCTGGATTAAAATTGTCTAGGGACATCTTATCAGAGTGAGTGAAAACGAAACGCCAGTTGACTGGATGGCTTTTATTTACTCCTTACGTTTCTAGAAAGCAAATTTATTTTAGATCCCAGAGGAAGTGCAGGTTACATCAAGGCCTTTAGTGACGAATGTTAATCCTGCAGTTACTGATGATGAATGGTATTATGTGGATCCAAGGAATTCACTTCAGGGTCCGTTCCCAACTTCGCATATGGAGGTAATCGAAATCATTCTGGCTTCTGCAAACTGCTTGTAAATTACAATACAACTTGAAACAGCCGTTAGGTTTTTTTCAGGCGTGGTTTAAATCTGGATATTTCTCAAGGGATCTGAACGTAAGGAAAGGCTCAGGTCCAAATGCTCATTTCCAAACCTTAGGCGAATTAATACAAGTTAATGGCGGTGCATCTCCGTTCAGAAGTAAACCGGTTGATCCAGCCTCTATCGTTCCAGTGCATTTGTCTCTACAGTCTCAGAACCCTGATTTGAGGTTTCATTGATTGGCTGTTGACTTTTTTCTACTACATTTTTGCCATCGTTTATTTTCACTAATTTTTAGTGGTAATCCATGGACGGGTGAAATAAATGAGTCTCTGCTGAAAGCTGCTAAAGTCGAGGAACAACGTCAGGTGGCTGTTCATATTTTATATTCTTGAAACAGCGGATTTTAATTTTTTTACAGTTCTTTTCAGTAATTGATGTCTTTTAAAGCTTAGATCAGTTGGTTTTGTTCTTTTGGTGTTGCTTTCAATAAAGTTTCTTCATATAAGCAAATTCAGAAACTGGAGGAGGAGCAAAGAAGGGTGGCTGAAAAGGAAAAAGAGTTGAAAGAAATGCAAGAAAATTTGAAACGGCAGGAGGAGGAAAGGCTGATGAAAGTCCGGGAGATGGAATTGAAGTTACAGCAACAACAGGTTATTTTTTTTTTAAGTTTCAAAAAATGCCAGTGCTTATAAATGCTTCTCGCAGAGGACAGGTTGTTTTCTGTCTGGGAAAAGAAGTTTCATGACGACATGAAGGTCTAGCTGTGGTTCCGTTTTGAAGTTGTTAAGCAGTTTTCTAATTAGGGAGTGTCATAAAGAAGTTTTCTTGTTACTAAGTTTTTCAAAATTTTATTTGTTGGGAAGTAATTGTTTGTGTATTTTGAAAAATTGAAAGGAATATGGTTTTTTTCCTTCAAGTTTTTATCTTACAAGAGTTAAAATAAATTGCTCAATATTTCTTTCTCATCAGTTGAGTTTTTTGCAGTGGGAGTAATTGCGATGAAAATAATTTGGGTAGTGCGGTCAAGGATTGCCTTTGATAGACATTTCAACTTTAAAGATTTCTGTGATACAGAATGAACCAGAATTTTACTGAAGTTAGGAAAAAATCTGCCTTTGAAACTCAAGTTTACAGTTGAATCTTTTATTACTCTTTATGAAAATGGTAAAATTCAGTCTTAAAAATTAGCTTTTGCCTTTATTCTTGCTTCAGCTTTTTTTGGTGAAGCCACTACAGCTTCTCATTATCTTTGCGCTGTTTACTTATGTAAATAGAAGTTGTGTGGGGATACTTCTGTACTTTGAATAGTTTTGGCTAACTTAATAACTGTATTTCTTTGCCCTTCATTTTCCGTTTATTGTTTTTGTTCTTTAATATGTAAAAATTCAGGAGGAGCTTGCCAGACGTGCAGCAGAAGAACGAGAACGGGCAGCTGCGCGTGAGCGTGAAATGGAGGTTGAGAGAAGAAGAATTGCGGAGGAAATTGAAAGGGCTAAGAGGGAGGAGATTAGAAAAGCTTTAGCTGATGAAAGAAAAGTTTGTTTTGGTGTTTTTTAGACTTTTAGCTTAAGCAGAAAAACTATAAAATTTTTTGCGTATCATCTGCAGTTTTTCCTTTCTTATCAGTTCTAAACTTCCTCGCGGTATAATTTTTATTTCACTCTAGTCTTTTATGACTTTTTCACTAAACCTGCTTTCACGTTTTTTTTCTTTTTGAATAAGTTATTTGAACTTTTATTAAGGTTTTTTCTAGGTTTACTATTATCAAAACACTGCTTTATCTTCAACTTTTAAGTTTCGTCGCTCAAGTTTTGCTCTTTTTGTTTTATAGCTTGTCGAACGGATTTATACCTGCTTTTTTTTAATATTGCGATTTTTCAGCGCGAAGAGGAGGAAAGGATTGCCAGAGAAAAGGAAATTGCGCGGATAAAGGCAGAGGCCGAGAGCTTAAGGTTAGAAAAATTGGAGAAAGAGGAAGCAGCAAGGAAAGCAGAAGAAGAAGCTAGGAAAAGGGCTCTCGCTTTGGAAGAACAAAAAAGGAAGGAATTATTAGAAAAAGAAAGAGAATTAGCGAAACAAACTTCTATTGAAGCCAAAAAACAGGTTATACGTGCACTTACTGGTGTGCTAGTTTTTGCCTGTGTCCTGTTTAAGTTTTATTTTCCGGATAGAAAAGCGATATTGACAGATTTCTTTTAGCTGCCTGCAAAGATAGAAGTAACAGAAGAGTTTGCTCCTGCTTCAAAACAAAGAAGTAATACTCCTCACGTGCAGCAAGGCGGTACCAAAGTATGGCAAGCTGTCTATCGTACTGGGGATGAAAAGCTTATAACTACAAAAGGTTTTTGCGCATTAGCTCAAATGCTTTTGTAAAAATTGTTTTCTTACTGCAGCTGCTGGTTAAATCACTTACTGCAGGAGTATGAGTTGCCAGCGTCTCTTTAACTGCGTTTTTTCAATAGCATTTGTGAATGTTATTGTTATTTATTTTATTTCACTTTTATTTTCTATTTTTATTTTTGTTATAGTGGCTCCTTGGCAAGCATCGGGTGAAGGATCTTTTACAGCTGGTGGTAAAAAGGAAAAAAGTTTACTAGAAATTCAGCAGGAAGAAGAGCGACAGTTGCTGGCGGAGCGTAAACAAAAACAGGAAGGACCAAATAGTGGGCGTAGCGGAGCTACTGGAAGCGTGACTAGTGGGGGCGTTTGGGCAGCTTCTCCCCAGAAACTGTCGTGGAGTCAACACACACAAGTGAGTATACTTCTGCTAACTTGCAAGTCCGACTTGACCAGTGTTCCAAATTATCTAAGACGACAAAGATTTCCAGTTGAATCGCCAGGCTTCTTCGCCAACAACAAAGACTGTGGCTTGGGGGGGTGCTGGATTACACCAGGAGACTCGTCCTGTAAGCTTAATGTTTGATGGTCCGTCATTGGAGTCGAGTAATAAGCAGTCGAAAAAGAATTTGAGGTATGGAGTAAAACCTACGTTTACAGAGGCTTTTTCTTCCCTTATGTGCTGATTTTGTCAACATTTTTCCGCTTTAATGTGACATTAAAATGTTTGCTCTTTTCAAGTCATTTGATAGTGGTTACGAAGTACCAGTACTTTGATGGCATAGTTGTGGAATTCAAAAGTAGGAATAATTAGTTTCACTCAGTCTTGCAAGTGGTGAATCTGTTATGCCGGAAAGTCCAGTTTTGTTAGAAGTTATTGGCGGTGTAGGGTTACCTCTGAGCTAAAATGTCGCGTTCAGTGCTTAGAAAAGCTGTAGTAGAGCCAGTTTTTTCAGAATTAAAAGTTTGCTAACGATGAGAGCTTGTATCAAAAAAACCGTACTCATAATTTTTCAATAAAATGGTTTTAAAAATATCAAAATTGCTTAACGAAGCATTGTAGTGTTTTTTTAAAAACTGGACGGTGATGGCGACATAAAACAGTGTTGAAATCTTAGTCGTCATCAAAAGACTAAAGTCAGTGTTTGCAAGAAATTCATTGAGTGAATCCATACTACTACTGCCAACTGTCCTTCCTCGCTCAAGCAGCATCCTGTGACCTTTTACCATTCGCAGGTTTACATTTCCATTTGTTCTTTGTTAGGGGTATGCGGAACAACGCAGTGGTTCTTTCTGCTTTTTTGCTGCGATCGTGCGGCTATGCATGTTGCTCTTTGATTTGTTAGGAATGGTGAAGAGAAGTAATTTGCAGCGTTGGTCAGACGACTTGAGGTTATGGGGATTATTGTAGCGCTATTAGACTTTTTTTTATAAGAAATGCTGGCTTTGGGAATTAGAAGCTGTTTGGGATCTAGATCTTCAGTTTCGGTAATTCTGCCAGTCGGTCGATGTTTTCTATTTTTTCTTGAGTCAGTTAGTAAGTGGCTTTCAGAAGTAGAACGGTTGTTTATATTAGCACTTGCAGATTATTTTGGTGTTGAATAGTTAGTTTTTGAAAAGCTAATGTATTTTGAAAAAGTTGCTCTATCTTCTTTTTTAGCTTTCCCCGTTTTCAGGGATTATATTTTATGAAAGGTGCTAACAAGTTTACGTTTGTCTTTTTTTTTTTGGGGAAGTGCTTTTACTCTCTCTTTCGTCATTCTTACAAACTTCTTAGTTATGACAGTTTTGAGGTACCACCTTGAAGCTCTTATGATTGTTTTTTAGGCGTTACGCGCTCGTCTGTATAATGGTTTGTTGGGTTGTTTTTTGTAGGGGAAGGCCTGTCTTAAAGATTTAAAGAATTAAAATTGACATTCTTACTAAAGAGATTTCTTGCCTTCCCATAATTCTTTTAACTATTTTTTCAACCGGCAACACTTTCGAAGTGGCTCAGATGTCGCTTTTTGGTGTTTCTTCATCCTTTTTTTTCACTTCCTGAATTTTAGCTCACCTGCGAAATCAAACAAAACTAGTAGCAAAGATGCATGGCAAGTAGGATTAAAGCAGGACACTTCTAAATTGCAACAGGAGGTGACAGTTAGAAGCTTATTTTTGGTTGCTATTATTCTGGTTTCACTTCGATTGAAACTATTCTTTCGAGGTTATAGCTCATAATCTTGTATATATTTAGACAGTGAAGAAATTGTTTAAACAAACTGCAACTGATATCTCAGATGGCTTTACAAAATGGGTCGTTCAACGGGTCAAACAACTCAATTCTCAGGTGGATGCTGATGTTCTTGCCGAATTTATTGAGAATGTCGATAGCCCAGATGAGGTTTGTCCTTTAATTAGTTTGAGTTTTTATCTCTCGTTGGTTATGCAATACAGCGTGGCGAACACGGGTTTCTCTTGATCGAACTAATAAACCAGTCAAATTTTATTGGTGAAGTGGTAAAAATGTATTTTATTCTTGAAAGAGGTCAGCGAAATTTAATTGCTGGTTACACTTGGTTTTGAAGTACAAGGGTTTCTTTTAGGTTGAGGATTATATTATCGGGTATCTCGGTGACAATACTCAGGTTAAAGAGTTTGTTCGAGAGTTTTTGGCAAAGCGTGGGGACGCTCGATTGAAGAAGCGCGCTCCCATTAAAGATGTATAACCTTCATTACTTTGTTTTTGGATCCCTATCTAGTACTTATTTTTGGTTTTTATAAGTTTTGCTATAGAAACAAAACTGGTTTCTTCCTAATCTGGAAGAAATTCTTTACGCGTATTGGGAACATTTTTTACTTCCTACTGGTTATAGGATTTGTCTGGACCAGCGCCGGCTGCTGACCCATCTTCGTCTGGTAATAGTTATGGGGGTAACGGAAATGGGCAGCAGCACTCTTCTACAGGAGGAAAGAAAAAGAAGAAAGGCAAAGGAGGAAGGCTGATAGTCGATGGTGCATGTTTAGGTTTCAAGGGCACTGCCGATTCGAATCGTGTTAATATTGGGGAGATTGCAACTCTTTCTGCTATGGAGGTCGGTCACAGATAGGTGCTGTCTTTTGGTTCTCATTTTGAGATGTTTCCTTTGCACTCTGGATACCGTAAGAATTTTTTTGGTATTTTTCGGCAACGATGGTAATTTTCTTTTTATTATTTTTGAAGTTGACAGAAAGTAAAAAGTTGTTTTGAATATCTGTGGAGATTTGTGAAGAGGAACATCTCGATGAGAAACAGAATCTGCTTTTAAACTGTAAATTCCTGAATACGTTTAAGTTGACCGCCATATTTTTTATCGATCTTTTTTCCGTCCACTTTATATAGTCATTTAGTTTTTTTTCATGTCCACTCCAAGTTTATTCCGCGTTGTATACATCAGGCCATCGGGCTCTAATGAGTTTTTGGTTGTTGCTATTAGAAGATTGGTTATGATGTTGTTCCTAACCATTTCAAGGCTTAGTTTTTTATGTTTACTAGAAAATTTTGTTCCCATGAAGCTTGCCATGATCGAGGGACTTCTGTGTTTTACAGTACGATGAGTTATCTTTGGTTGCACTTCAAGTGTTGCCAAAGTATAGTCACAGAGCTTTACCTCTTTCCGTCAGAGGTTGAGCTGTGACTTTCGGTAGGATTTGTTGGGAGTGAATAAGGGTGTTTTGAAATTATTGTAATATAGTTTTAGCTTTTTTAACGACTTCTATGACCTGTGTATCAGCTACATTGGGCGAACTAGTCAAAGCACCGACGTAGTCACCATATTTGATGTTTTACTTTAAAATTGCCTTGTGAAGTTGCTTAATTAGTCAGTTGTCAGAGCCTGGTGCTCCAGTTTCGTTTCAGCTTCTGCCCAATGATGTACTGTTTACATGTTTAGCAGCAATCTTGGTGTAGTTCAAAATTGCCGAGACAGTGTAATTCGACAAAAAAAAAAACTTGGGAAGATTTGAATATTTTTGTGAAATTGGAAGTACTAAGACGTTTTCGGACGTTCAAATATTCCACTTTTTGTTGTGTGATATATAATGTTATGTTGCTTGGTCTCGAGCAAGGCTGCCTTGCTTCATGTTTTCCATTTCGTTGTTTGTTGGATTTCTATGTTTTCTGTTTTTACTTTGGCGATCTCTTTGTTATATTTTGGGACTCCACTGACTTTTCTCGGAGTTTCTGTCCTTTTTCAGTACGTCATTAACTTTGGTTGATCACACTTCAGTTTTATTGTCTCTTTGAATTACGATTCGATGGAGACAGGGCTCTGGTCAGAGGGCGTTTTTTGAACTTACGGCTGGTCAGTTCCTTAGCAAATTGCTGCACGCTTCACAGGATTGTCTCTTCCATAGGTGATTTCTTCTCTTCTGACATTTTCTGGGATATTTTTTCTGAGAAACCTTTGGCCAGAACCTATTGGGAGGACGTCGATCTGATCTAGGATATTTTTTCTGTCTTTGGGGGTTAGGTTCGCTGTTTGCCTAATTTTGTTGGTGAATTTTTTCGTGATGTTCAAGCTCATATGTTGTCGAAGTCGCACTATAACTGATGTATAGATTGTAATTATTTGTACTTTTGGCGGCGACGAATAAACCATTACCTCGTTTTGTTTATTAGAACAATATTTCAATAGGTTGACTTCTTTTTTTCAGTTTTGAGAAGCTGGTTCCATTAAAGTTGCAGTTTATAGCTGTGAGGAGTGGTTGGTAAATTCCAATTTCGGTAGAATGGTATGAAGCTGATTGGATTGGGATTGGTGTCTTGAGGTTATTGACTTGTTTTGAAGTTCAGGATGAGTTGTGGGATTAAGTTATTGGGGGCTTGTCGGGTATAGGTTACGCTAGTTCAATGTTTTGCAGTTTTTTGAGTTAGCTCTTTAAAATTTATCATTGCTGTTTAACCCGGTGAAGTCCTTTCGCAGCTTATTGGTGCCTAGTCCTGTTGTATTAGTATCCAGCTGTAGTGGATGAGGAATCAACAAAGAACAGTTCATTACTACTACAGTTTTACTAGAAAACAAGGTTACTCTTTGGGACACGACTTGGTTACTCTGATGGAAGCGTGTTTACAATTTTCTACTGCCGTTGAAGCCATCACTTGCTGCCAGAAAGTTCTCCGTTGTTTCCCTGAAGCTTCCAACGTTCCCATAGCACTCTCGGCAGCCTCTGCCGCCCATCTTAGAATTGATAGCAGGGAAGGTGCTGCGAAACCAGTTTACTAAAATTATATAGAGCCGACTTGTCGCGGTTAATAAATACAATTTCGTTCCGAAGTGTCAAAGCGATTTGGAGTGCAGTTTTGAAAGCAAGCCAAATGGGTTCTAGGCGGATGGCTATCAACTCTTCGTTTCATTGTCACGTTGCGTTGGCAAATATCCAACCGTTTTAGAAAAATCGTGGGACCGTAATTCGATCGTTCGAAGACAAGGGAGCGATCAATTTAGAAAGAGAAGCATCAGCTTTATTCTATTTCTAGAGAAAAGTTAAGTAAAAGTGAGGTCAGTAGCAAGAGTTTATTTTAAGGGAGTACATGGCATCTCTAAGTAACTTGTAGCGTTTTAAGCCGTCCTGTTGGGATTCTTTGATACTTTATGGCTGAGTGGTGGGGATTCTTTGGGTCACTACATTTTCAAAAGCGCTGTCCTGATGGCCAGGAATTAAACATTGTATGGGTTAAGCTGAGACTACAAGTTCCGTTATAATTACAGTTCAGTGCCTTAGCACCATTTATAGTTCACGCTCTTTTAAAATAAAATAAATTTAAGCACAATGAGTTATGCTAACGTTGCTATAACTACTAGCACCTAATTTGGTGAAAAGGCATGTCATTAGCACTGTGGTGTCAGATGATAACAGCTGCAGAAATGGGCAGAGGCGAAATGCTGCCAAGCGAAACAGTGCAAAAGCGATATGCTAGCATAATTAGGTCTTAAAAATTTAGTGCTTACAGCGAACCATTAAGCCAGGCAAAAATTTTTTTCTTTGCTTACACAATTTGAAGAATAACCAAAATGACGTCATTTTTTTCTCCAATGTTTTTTAAAATTACGGAGATTTATTTAAGTCTTGTCTTGTTTGGGAAGGGAGAAACAGGAAGGTTTCTTTAGGATTCCTTGAAGATGATAAAAAAATTGTTTTCATGTAAAACAACTGATCACTATAATTGGTGTATAATAACAATAAATTTATTTGGCTCGACAGCTAATTCGGACTTTTATTTGTCTTGTAATTCCAAAGAATATTTTAAAGTCTTAGAGTCACGTAAGTGTATAATTCTATTGTGTTGGCGAAAGCTACGAGCCGCTTTCTTTCCTTAGCATACGCGTTCAGAATTCATCTTAAATCGTGGCTGCCTTATCTCGTTACACATTAGACTTTGAAAGTTGTAGCTAGATATAGTTCTTCTGGTTGCTAACACCACTTA